GGCGCCGGGTCCTGCGGACTGAGGGCGCACTGTGGTCTTCGGGGCGCGGCGGCCTCAGCGGAGTGGGCTCCCCGGGGGTGCCCACCGGCACCGGGCGCGGGGTGGGGAGAAATGGGCTTGCGGGCTAGCTGGCGGGACGGTGCCGCGGGGGGCGGGGGGACACCGTAGGGGTGGTAGAAAGGTTGGGCCCGAGGGAGCCGAGCCCCGACCGCCGGGCCCCGCTGCGGACGGCAGGCTCAGGGTGACCCCGGACGGCGGGCTCACCGAGGCGGTGGCGATGGCGGCTGCAGCGCTCGGGCGTCCAGGCCTACGGCCCTCCCCTGGGTCTTGGCACTTCTGGGCCCGGACACCTGTTGGAAGAACCCCGCCAGGCTCCGGGGCCTGGGTCCCGCCCAGGCAGCGGCCCCGGAACGCGAGCCCAGGCCGGAGGCGGAGTCTCAAAGCGCCCCTCCCCCTCCCCTAGGCTCTGGCGCCCTCCGGTCGGAGACTTTCCGGGGACGCTGGGACCGCTCCTCCGCCACTGCCTCTGACATGGAGAACAAAAGACAGAAAAACGGCGTTCTCTGTGCACATGCAGGCCAAGACTCATAAAGGCTTGCCAGGATTGTCAGCGGGGGGCCGTGGAGGTCAGGGTTAGAATGCCCCTAGCTTGTTCTGAAATACCACATTTCTCACTCAACTAGCTAAAAAAATAGATTAAGAAAGCAATCCAAAAACCTCACTGCCGCCGAGTCGATTCTGACTCGTAGTGACCATATAGGACCGGATAGAACTATCCCTGTGAGTGTCCTAGACGGTAACACGTCTTTCTCCCAGGCTGATGGTTTTGAACATAAGCAGGATGCCACCAGGGCTCCTAAATGGGGCCTCCTCCCAGATCCATTCCCCCTCATGGACAATGCACTTCACCCCAGCTAATCACAGCGGCCCCTCCTGGGCTTCGCGCCCTGTGAGTAGGCAGACCTGGTCCAAACTCTGGCCAGTCCTGCCCCTTGGTCTCACTTCCCCACTCTCGATGTTGTGAAAGACCCTTAGGAAGTGCCTGCAGACAATAAACATGACTGAAAGCAGGCTTTCTGCCCCCCTTTGGAACTATCAATCCCATCCCAGCCCCCTTTAAAAGACTGGGGCAGTAGGAATGTCTCACGGGATGCCCTCTTGGCCCCTGCCTGGGTGTCAGGCAGAGGGAGTTCTTTGCTCCACTGAAGGCTTAGAGGATACCCTGCTCCCCCCTCCCCTCCCTCTTCCTCCAGGAAGAGGAGCACTTGTCCCTCGAGGAATGAAGAACCTGGTGGTTGTTTGACAAAGCAACCTGGAGCTAGTCTGGGCTGTTGCCCTTTCTCCCACTGGGCTAGGTCCCCTCTCCTGTGTAAGATGAGAGGCCTCATGCAAGCCTGACACCTGGCCGCTCAAATGGCACTTGTTTTTACTCCAGCCAGGCCTTCTCTCCTGTGCCTCCTGCCCTTCCAGACATGCACCAGCATCACAATCTTCCTTACTCAAAACTCTCAGTGCCCTTGCTGCCCCACCTACCTGTGGTGATGCTTCTCTCTCCCTCACCCCCCACACCCAGTCAGTCCTGCCACCTCTTGCCACGTGGTTGCCATCCCGGCCATACCCATCTCTCCCCTGCGATGGGTCCTACCTTGTCTCTCTGCTTCCACTCCTGCCCCTACAGTCCAGGGTCCACACACACTGCCAGGGAGGTCCTGACAGTAAGTCAGATCCTCTCACCTTCCTCACTCACCATCCTCAATGGTTTCCCATTGCACTCCAAGTAACCCCCACCCCCCTCTCCTACAGAACCCTACGGAAGTAAGTGGACCCAGTCAGCCATCTCTGCCCCCTCTTCCATTTATTAAGCTTCGGCTGCATGACCTGTTTTCTAGCTTTCAAACAAGCCAAGCTGTTTCCACCTTTGGGCGTGTGCATTCAGCGCACCCTCAGCCTGCAACACCCATCTTCCTACAGCCAAGAAGGGCTTTGCTCAAACGTCACTTCTTCAGAGACACTTCTCTGGCCAGTCAGTTCAAGTAGCACTCTCTTCTCCAGGGTGCTAGCTCCTCCTCCTCACCCTGCTTCCTGTGTGTTACAGCTTCTATTACTACCTGGAAGTCTTAGTTACATATGTTTACAGATCTCTTCCACCCTGGTTGCGTCTAAATTGGGCCATGGCAGAGGCCCTGCCTCTCTCATTTTCTGCAGCACTCGCTGATGAGAGAGGCAGATAAAGAAAGCAACAAGCACACACATCTGAAATAACACAGCAAACAGCAGCAATTGCTTGTTTTTGAAATTTTCCCTTTGAAAATTTGAAATTTTCAAGCTTATCGGCAGGAACAATGATATTGTCAAAACAAGCTCTCTGAGCCATTTGGGGGATGAGGAGAAGCCTAGTAGCTTGGACCAGGACACAAAGTTAAGAGGCGTGGAAGTGGTCTCTTACCATAAGAACTTGTGTGTGGCGAGCTTTAATGGTGAGCCCACACTTGCGTTCTGGGAAGAACCTGCAGACTTCGGTTTTTTGCTTTTCTGCTCTTTAGGAAGTCCTCTAAATTCTTGCCGTCTCGTTTTTGGAATTAGGGCGATCTAACTATTATCATCTTGGGCTACTTCCTCCCCCTATCTCATTTCTCCATCCCCAAAGAAGCATCTCTTCTGGGGTGAGCTCTTTTGCGCTGGAAGGAAACCAATCACAGACCCAGCTGCTCGGACCTCTTGCAGGCGTCGACCTGGGGACGATGGAGGCAGCTAGAGCCCCCCTCAACCCTGACCAACCAAGCGGATAGCAGTGGAGTCTGCAGCTTCTGGATTGGATTCTTTGGGGCCATCAATTAGTTTGTCATCAGATCCGCTGGGGTCTCTGGGACCTGGGCCATAATCAAATAGGATGTGCTGCTCCCTAAAAAAAAAAGACAACAACAAACCAAACAAAGTGGAAATCCCAAACAGATGAGGGAGAAAGAATTGCCTTTTTGTCTCAACCCCACCCCCAACCCTGTTGCCATGTGTGACCTGTTTTCCTTCCAGTCTCTTTTCTTCTCTCAGTTCACCCGCCCGTCGGGAGGCAGAGCCCCTTCCCTCTTCAGAACCTAAGCAGTGATGACATTTGCCGAGGACGAGACTTACCGTTATATCCGCAACAATCACAGCCAGTTTTGCATTGTTGATGTTCTTGAGATTCTGCCTTTCTTGGCCTGCCTCACGCCAAGTGACCAGGTGAGCCAGGGAGATGGCCGTGGGACACAGGCTGGTGGCCGGGCTGTGGAATGCAGTGCTCAGCCCCATCCGAAGCCAGGGTCAGCTCCTTCCTTCTCCATTCGTGCCTCTCACGTCTTGTCCTTTATACTGTCCTACTGCTCATTTATCACAAAAACACTCACTCACTTCCATCAAGTTAATGCTAACCCGGGATCACAGATTTAGCTTTCCTTCCATTGAATGTGGTTCAGGATGGCTTCACTGAACGCCCTCTTGTGTTGGGTTCATGTAACGCTCAACAATATGGCGGCTGGCCATGTCCAGAGGCTCTGAGATGTTCTGGCCTGGTCTCCTCTCTCACTTCTACCAGAACCTTCTTTCTCTCCTCTTTTTGGCCCTTGGCCTGTTCAGTTTTGATTCTATTCTTGTCCTGGGACAACGTTCTGGCAGGGAACCCCAAGGTTCAATTGTGTGTTGTTTCTTTTTTTATCTCTGAAATAATTTTAGACTTGCAAGACTTGCGTACAAAAGTTATTTTCAGCCTTGGACCATGTGAGAGCACATTGCTGACAGCGTGCCCTATGCATTACCATACCTCCTACATACAACATACACTTAACATACATGCTACTTTACTGTCATCCTACTTCCAGACCCCATTCACGTTTCACCAGCTGCCCCCATAATGTCCTTTTGGCCTTAGGATCCATCTCAGAATTGTGTCACATTTTGTTGTGATGTCCTTTCATAAAAACAACCTCAAGCTCACTGCCACCAAGTCGTTTCCAACTCACAGCAACCCCATAGGGCGGAGTAGAACTGCCCCTGTGGGTCCCGAGGATGCAGATCGCTTTTTTTTTTTTAAATCATTTTATTAGGGGCTCATAGGACTCTTATCACAATCCATACATCCATCCATTGTGTAAAGCACATTTGTACATTCATTGCCCTGTCATTCTCAAAACATTTGCTCTCCACCTAAGCCCCTGGCATCAGCTCCTCATTTTTCCCCTCCCTCCCTGCAGATCGCTTTGGGAGCAGGAAGCCTCATCTTTCTCCCTCAGAGCAGCTGACAGAGTCAAACTGCTGACCTTGTGGGTAGCAGCTCAACACCTAGGCCGCTACACCGGGACTCCAAGGTCTCCTTAGCCTCCTTTACTCTGAAATTGTTCCTCACTCTTTCTTTGACTTTCTGACCTTCACACGTTGCAAGACTGACAACCTGTTGTTTTGTAAACTGCCCCACAATCCCCTAGGGCAGCGGTTCTCAACTTGTGGGTCGTGACCCCTTTGGATGTCAAACGATTCTTTCACAGGGGTCACCCGATTCATAACAGTAGCAAAATGAGAGTGATGAAGTAGCAATGAAATAATGTTATGGTTGGGGGTCACCACTACAGGAGGAACTGTATGAAAGGGTGGAGACATGAGGAAGGTTGAGAACCACTGCCCCCGGGCTCGGTTTTGAGACTTCACAGGAGCCAGGCTGTTCTAGCTTCTCTGGAACTCTTGCTCCCTCTGGGTCAGGTTGGCAGGCCACCCTTCCCCTGCAGTTGCTGTTGTCAGGTTGACCACTGTGTTTCCCAGGGGCACCTGCTGGCTTGTTTGGAAATCGCCCTTCTCTGAAGCCCAGTTGCTTTTCCCTGCTTCCCTGGTGGGGTGTGGCTCTTTCCTCTTGTATACTCAAGGCCAAGGGCAAACATATGCTTTGTCCCCTAACCCTGGGGTTAATGTTTCCTCTGGGTTTTTGTTTCTCTGCTTGCTTGCTCTGGTTTCCCCACTCCCCTTGTTGCTGATTGTCCGCCCTTTCTCTCTCTCTCTTTTTTTTTACAAGTATGACTAATTTTATTTTCATTTTTAAAAAAATTGTTTTATTAGGGGCTCATACAACTCTTATCACAATCCATAAATACATCAATTGTGTAAAGCACATTGGTACATACATTGCCCTCATCATTCTCAAAACATTTGCTCTCCACCTAAGCCCCTGGCATCAGCTCATTTTCCCCCTCCCTCCCCGTTCCCCCCTCCCTCATGAACCCTCGATAATTTATAACTTATTATTTTGTCATATCTTGCACTGTCCAACGACTCCCTTCACATACTTTTCTGTTGTCCATACCCCAAGGAGGAGGTTATATGTAGATCCTTGTAATCGGTTCCCCCCTTCCAACCCACCCTCCCTCCACCCTCCCAGTATCGCCACTTATACCACTGGTCCTGAAGGGCTCATCCGCCCTGGATTCCCTGTATTTCCAGTTCCTATCTGTACCCGTGTACATCCTCTGGTCTAGCCAGACTTGCAAGGTCGAATTGCCATCCTTTCTCTTTTGCCCTCTCCCACCTTCCTTTTTCCACACACTTTTCCTCCCTCTGGGGATGTATAAACTGCTGCCTTTTGTGCGTTAACTGGGCTTACACCCTCCCTTCCACTTTACTGCCTAGCTTCTGCTAACCCTCAGCTTCCTCATCGGTGAATCGGGATAAGGAGTCCTGAGACCACATGTGCGGAAGCTAAGTCAGCTGCTCACTCTGCTTCTGTAGAGATTCTATGACCCCTCACACCAATCCAAAACAAGGGAAGGCTAATAATAGTGCTAATGATACGGTTTACGCAAAGCCCTTAACAGAAAGCCTGGCGCATTGTCAGTGCCTGTCTCTTTGTGTGCGTTGCTTTCTTTTTGTTGTTACTATTTCTCTTTTCTTCCTCAGCCCCATACTTGGACTTGAACCCTGGCCTTGCCCTGGGCTCTGACCCAGGTTCAGACACTGCCCCTCTCATAGCTTCCTCCATGCCCTATCCTGCTGCTGCCCTTCCCACCTAAGGAAGGAGTTGGGCCGCCTGGGTTGAGCAGGGCAGTGGTGCTGTCTGTGTCTTCCAGGATCGGCTGCGGGCATCCTACATACGCATAGGGAACCGGGACACAGTCTGGGAACTCTTCAACAGCCTGAAGCGGCGAAGCGGCTGGGTGGCATCTCTCATCCAGGCATTGAAGGCCTGTGAACTGACTGATCTAGCTGAGATAGTGGCCAGCGTCTATCAGAGCCACCTGCCCCGTGAGTGTGCTGCCTCGGCCCCCTCCTCCTGAATCCCTGCCTCCCCTGCCGTCCCCCCCCTCGCCCCTATGCCTCCTGCCTTTGTGTCACCCTGCCTGCCTTCACTCCTGGGTGATGGACAAACCTCTGTATGGATCTAGCTGGGTCCCTTCGCCAAATCTCTTAGCTTCCCTGGGCCTCAGGGTCCCCACCTGTAGGATGGGGCTCTTAGCAGTAGGCTGTAGTAGATCCCATGAGACCATGGCATGTTGAGTGCTGAGCTGCGGTCTGGCACCTACAATGTGCGTTGCGAATGGGGTTTCATCTACATGTGCCTCCCACCCTTTCTCATCCCTTCCTTGTCCCACCCCCACCCCCCCGGCCCTCTACGCATCTCATTTCATTCCCCCCTCCTTTCTTGCCCTCCTTCATGGGTTTCTTCCATCTTCTGTCCCCTTTTCTCCTCAGCCCTCTCGTTTCCGCCAGTTCTGCCCTCCAGGAACGCCCAGCTACCCCTTGGTTCCTTTCCAGTGTCCACTTCTGGTCCAAGTGCCGGGGACGGGGCAGTGGGGGGATCAGTGACGTGCTGAGGTGGGGTCTACGGGGTGAGACTGGGAGAAAATAGCTACGCTTCAGGAGTGTTCGAGCCAGCGGAAGACAAGTCCTCCCAGGCAACCCCTGAGAGAGACCCTGGGCAGGTTTATGGCCCTGAGACATCTCATCTTTGCCTGCCTGCCTCCCCCACTTGTTTTTTTTTTCCTTCTTTCTTCTCTCCCCCCCTTCCCCCTTCCACCCTCCCCTGTCCTCTTTTCTCCTTCCTTCTTTCCTTCCCTGGAAACTAACGGGGCGCTCTCCCAATGTCAGCCTGTGGGGGGACAATGGTGGGGTGCTCAGGGGCAGCACTCAGGGTGGGGTCAGTTATTGGTGGCAGCCATGAGGAGGAGGAGGGGAAGGCCTGAGAGAGAGGAGTGACTGACTGCTGACCCATCTGGGAGGGGCAGCGGGTGTGTGTGTGTGTGTGTGTGTGTGTGTGTGTGTCAGAAGCCTGAGGTGTTCCTGCTTCCTCCTCTCTTCTTGCCCCTCCCCCCAATTCCTCTTTCCCCCTCTCTCCTGGCTTCACTCTTCCCTCCCCTCCCCTCCTCTCTTACCCCCCAGGGATGCTTGTCCACATCAGGACAGCTTCTGGAGCTGTGAGAGGCAGATACCGCAGACTTGGGGTGGGGTGGGGGGCCCCTCTGAGAACACCCAAACCTCTCCTGTTACTGGACATGGTCCCCCCTACCCCCTGCTTCCTAAAGTGCTTCCTTCTTTGTTTTTCAGGGAATCAGATTTGCCCCCCAGCCCCAATGGAGCCAAGGTCAGTCCCCACTGAGATTCCAGGACCCACAGCAGCCCCCAGCGCCTCCCTCAATGGCTACAGAGAGGACCAGCCAAGCTACCCAACTCCTGTCCAGGACACTCAGCCGACAGAGACCCTGGGGGAGGTGTGTCATCACCATCTGCTTCGGGCCTCCTGGTTTTTATCTGCCCACTCCCACTGACCCAGCCTTCCAGAAACTCTCTTAACCCACACACCAGGCCTACACTCTGCTCAGAAGTCTCAGGCCTCCCTCTGTGGAGCTGCCAGGCCCCTGGCCGGGCCTTTACCCTACAACTACCTCAGCCAGCTGCTGTGCGGCCCAAGTGTGGAGGTCGTTGCAAAGGTCCCTGTGAGATGTTGAACTGGGTTAAAGAGACCTGGACAGTGACCAGATGGGGAGGGTGTGGAGCAGGAGGTAAGAGGGCCTGTTCCTGTGGCCAACAAAGTTAAATTGGGGATGGGGGTCGGGCAGTTCAAGAAACCCTGAACTGTGGGCCTGCGTCCCAGAAACAGGATCTGAGCTACAGAGAGGGAGGCCTTATTGTAGGCAAGACAGATGGACATGGAGTCCCCATGGATGACGGTGTATTTTCTGAAGTGGGTGCCAGAGCACCTGTGGACAGGGTCTGACACCGACAGGGCTGCGGTGAGGGGTCGCTGGGCCCCTGGCTGCGAGGCATGGGTGGGGGTTCGAGGGGCCTGACCTGTGAGCTTAAGGCCCTCTTCTGGTTCCTGGGAGAGGAACGCATTTTCTCTCTTTTACAGAGATCGGAACAAAACCCGCTGGCCCCCAGCTCTGGGGCCGTCCCAAGGAGGCCAGAGGGTCCCCTGGAGCCCTCCTCTGCTCTGACGGCGGCCGTCAGCCCCCTGACCTCTATCAGGTGTCAGGAGCAGGACACGGGACAGGGCAGTGCCCCCACAGCAGGTACGCATGCATGGAGCCAGGAGTTGAGGGCCTTGCTGTGCCACAAACCAGCCCCGGATGTAGTAGCTCCCAATGCCCACGAGTCTGTGTGTCAGGAATTGGGGGCTGACTCAGCAGGGTGGTTGAGTCTCTTCTCAGTGATCAGTGAGGTGGCTCTGTTCCTGGGGATACCTGTGGCTCTTCCATGTGGTCAATCGTCCTTCAGCCATCAAGCCCATCTCCTGGCAGCTGGGCTGGATTCAGAGAGGGCGGGGGAGGAAGAGTTCCTGAAGCACATACTCAGAACAGGCCACGCACCACGCCCGACCCATCCCATGGGCTAAGGCAACTTACAGGCCCCGCAGATTCAGGGGTGGAGGAACTGATAGTCACATGGCAAGGGTGTGGGTGCAGGGAAGGGTGGAGAATTAGGGCCATTTATACACTCCCCCAGAGAGACCTGTCAGAGCCTAGAGGGCAGAGACCTGGAGAACAGGACTGGACCAGCTATGGACAGAAGAGCTCTTTAGTCCCTGCCCCCCTTCAAAGAGGTCTCCAGCTCCCAGGGAGTCACCAATCCTTCTCATCAGGTTTAAGAATATACAGTTGTCCATCATAACCTCCCTCACAGGCTGACATCTCTCTCGGTGCCCCACCAGCCTCAGGGCACAGGAGGAGTTAAAAGCTCACAGTGCCCCACCTTCCCATCTCCCCACACGTTTCCACAAGGAGGCAATGGACACTTTGATTTTATCTTATCTGATTTTGGTGTGTCAGCAAGCTAAATTTAGTCTACAAACAGGATTCCATGTAAGTTTTTAAAATAGCACTTTTTTTTCTATTCAAGCTTTTAAAAGGTATGCATTATGGAACACTGAAAACAAAACTGCAAAAGGGAACTAAAATCATTTTGGTGATTTGATAGTTAGAGTTTGATGTATCTTTCTGTAGCGTCAATCTAAAAACCAAACTCACTGCCATCAAGTCAAGGCTGGCTTACAAGGATCCCTGTGAGTTTTCGAGACTGTAACTGTTTACAGGAGTAAAAAGCCCTGTCTTTCTTCCTCAGAGCTACTGGTGGTTTCAAACTGCTGACCATTTGGATTGCAGCCCAACGAATAACCACACCACCACCAGGGCTCGTGTTCTGATGTATAAAGATTATACTGGACACTTAGATTAAAATGTTCTGGAAGGCAGGCTCCCTGAGCATCTGGGGTGGGGGATTTGGGGTTCATGTCCCAATCAAGAGTCCAGGGGCAATCTCAGTGTGGCTGTCTATATGAACTATCACTGTCTGCTGCCCTCTCCCTGCCCCTCCCCACCCCTCAGACCTTAGGCCTCCTGGAAATTTGTACCCACTGCCCCACACCCCAGGAGCAGTGTGAACTGGTCTGCTTGAGCCTCCTTTGCCCCTCTGCCTGATCCAGGATTGCTCCTGCTGTTGGTGGTCTCGGAGGCACCACCAGGATTCTATTGCTGCCTGCAAAGGGTCTGGGGATAGCCTGTCACCATATAGCCCCAAACAGAAACCAGCTTGATTCGAGAAATCCTCGGTTTATTCCTGCAAGCCCTTATAGAAGGAAACAGCCAGGTTTCTGCTTCCGAGCAGTTTTAAAGATCCAGATATAATCAAACAGGTTGCATACCTCAAACTGAGTGGGCAAGTTGCATGGGGGAAATAGTTAACATGTTTTACAATGATCAGAGAACTTTCCAGCAATGGGACCAAAGGGAGCACGGTTTGTAGGAAACAGTTTTTACTTACTCAAGGGATTACCAGGCCATCAATTCATATGTTCATGACTCCACAGACTTCAGAGCAGTGCCCCCAGACCCTGCTTCCTCTTCCTGGCACCCTGAATAATTAACAATTTAAAAAATTGTTTGGTAGGCGTATACTTCATACATCATACAGTTTAAGCATTTAGTCACATTAAGATTTGTGCAATCGTCACCACACCCAATTTCAGAATATTTTCTTCTCATATTGTTAGCTCCCCATCTCCCCCATTGTCTCCTGACATGCCCCTATCCAGTCACTGTGTCACGATAGAGCTACCTATCCTGGATTTCATATACAGTGAACCCTCATTTATCGCGGTTAATTGGTTCTAGACCCTACCGTGATAAATGAAATTCCGCGAAGTAGGATTCCTTATTTGTAAATCAAATATTTTCGTAGTTAGAGCATAGAGGACATGAAAAAACACCCTTTAGTCACCATTACACTCGTATTACCCAATTTATTAAACGAAAAAGGGAAAATACAGTAAAACATTTTGGACGTTACAATTATCATTTATTATTTATTATATTATGAAGTACAACGGATGGAGCGAACGGAAGACTCATTCAAGTCGAAATGGCGTGCAACCTCCACGATTTTCTTGCCATCTTTGATCATATCCAAAAGTTTTACCTTTTCCTGGATGGTGAGCATCTTCCTCTGGCGCTTATTTTTATTGTCAGAAGGCTTAGAAGAAGCAGCTCATTTAGGAGCCATCATAGGGCTTAGATAAAATTTCTTAAAAATCACAAACAATTACAGTACACTGTACAAAAGCAAAAATGCATCTGATATGTAGCTCCGATACGTAGCGATGCAGACAGAAGCGTGTACAGTATGAGCCAATCAGTGGCAGTAATGACAGAGCATGCGCTGTTACCCAAAAACCGCGATAGAGTGAAGCTGCGGAAGTCGAAGCGCGAAGTGGTGAGGGTTCACTGTACAACAAAAACAACAACAAAGCAAAGAAAACCCAACAATAATGACGAGATAAAACATACAAAGACCTCAAAGAGAAAGCAGAAAATTAAAAAACTGGATCAACTTAAAACATGTCAAAAAGGAGATCAAATGATAGGGGATGATGTTTTCAACCTGGCTGCATCCACCCCAGTCGACTTCACACTGCTCTCTGTCTGACAGCAGGGCTGCTCACACCCTGGACTTTGGTCACAGGGATTCACCGGGGCTTCATCTCTGTGGGGATCCTGCAAATGGATTTTGGGCTTCTCAGGTCATCCATAGCGTTCTGCAAACGAGGCGTTCACAGTTTAAGCTCTGTCCTCCTTCGGATTTGGGTTTTGTTATTTACAGTCCTTAGCGCTCACACAGGCTGGTATGCTTCCTTCATGTGGACTTAGTCTGTACCTCATGTAGATGGCTGTTTGTTTAGAGACAAGCCTTTACAACCCCAGGTACTATTTTTTTCTGATAGCGGAGTACAATCTGATTCCTTCACCATGCTTTGCTACAGCACCCATACCTTCAGTGACTGCTTCATGAAGGTGAGCATCAAGCAGGGCCATGTCTTAAGACTGCTACCCCAAGGTTATGGAGTTGGCAGTTGTTGGATCTCTTGTTTTGAGGGTGCCCAGTGAATGGGAGCCCTGGGCTACCACAATGTATCATTATAATGCCCTCCTTTCTTTCTTACGGCATGTGATAATCTTGTAGTAATACTTGTGGACGAGTATTACTGAAAGTTTTGCCCTATCACCAACCCCTATTCTGTGTGTAAATAGAGTCTAGGCACTTAAAAGTTTAATCTGTACAAGTCAATAATTCATGAATTCCAGTCTGAAGCCAGCCTGTACTTAAATGATTTCCTTTTCTCAACAGTGTTTTCAGTTCTATTCCATGGGCTAAATGAAAGACATATCAATAGAATAGTTTTTGCCCAGGGGGGTGATATATAATGTTCTGGATCATGCTGTCTCTCAAGTGAACCAGAGCTATTTATAAACCAGAGATAAATGAATGGATTTGAGGCTCCCAGTCTGAGAACAAAAGCCAACAAGTTTTCAACACACTCAGGCTTTGAATAATCAATGGGTTTTAAAGGAATTGACTCTAAAGGAGGGGCTGTTACATCCTGAGTTCCTTTTAACAAATGACATCTCAACAGGCCGGAGCCCAAACTGTTACCTATCCAGGATTGATGAACAACAGGCTAACCCTTGCACTTCCCTGGACCTGTGCCACCTGGCTTAGGAAAAAGTGGGAGAGGGAAGAGGAGGGAGGAGGGCCCAGGCAGAAGGAAAGGCAGGGAGAACAATTAGTGATGATCTTCCTGCTCCTAGGGGCCATAAAGGGGATGGACCATGTCACTCTGATGGGATGGCTACAGGTCTAGGAGTGAGGGTAGATCCAGCCCAAGGAGGTGCCTGCAGGCCTGAGAGTAGTGACCAGAAGGACCTCAGAGATGGAGAGGGCTGGATGTCATCAGGCCCATGTGACTGGTGGCAGCAGGACCCTTGTCCAGCTCTCTGGTCCCAGGGTGACCATGATTTTAGGGTTACAGTCCTATATTTCCACTTTTGTTTTGCCACCTACAGGCATGGTCTCCAGCCCCACCTCACCCCGTGGGCCTGTGTCTCCGTCTGTCTCCTTCCAACCCCTGAGCCGCACCACCCCCAGGGCAAGCCGCTTGCCTGGACCCCCAGTGTCAGCTCCATCCACTGGCACCTCCTCCAAGGTGGCTGGCTTGGGTCCTGCAGGAAGTGCTGGTGACCAGGCTGAGGCCACCATCTACTCCAGTAAGACAGGAGTACCTGCAGCCTCTGTGACCACCAGCACAGTACTCACCAAAGTGCCCACGATGCCTGGAAGCGCTCTGCCCTCCAAAGGGCCCACCAGCCCGGCATCCACCAGCCTGGCACCCTCCAAGTTACCCACGATGCCTGGAAACGCACTGCCCTCCAAAGGGCCCACCAGCCCGGCCCCCTCCAAGTTACCCACGATGCCTGCAAACACAGTGGCTTCCAAAGGACCCACCAGCCCAGCACCCTCTAAGTTGCCCACCCTGAAGCCCCCTGCTGTGATGACCTCTACCATACCTCCATCCAAACTGCCCACCAACTCCATGCGTGCCGGCTCAGTGCCCAGAAGCAGGAGGCCAGAGGTGAGTGCTTGCCTCTCCTAGCAGGGACCCAGGCCCTGTTCCTGCTTACTTTCCTGACCCTGCCTTCGAACCCTTTCCCAGGCCCCTTCTGTGTTCAGCCCTAGGGCCTTTTTGGAGGGTGTAAAGCAGTGGTTCTCAACCTTCCTAATGCCATGACCCTTTAATACAATTCCTCATGTGGTGGTGACCCCCAACCATAAGATCATTTTCATTGCTGTCATTTTGCTACCGTTATGAATTGAGTGACCCCTGTGAAAGGGTCATTTGACCCCCAAAGGGTCTCAACCCAGAGGTTGAGAACCACTGATGTAAAGCCAACTGAGCACCAGCCTCATGATCCTCAGAATTCACTAGAACTCCTAAGTGCGGATACCTCAAGGGGGTCCAGCTTGTTTAAGCAACCCCCGCCCACCACACTTTTAGGGAGGAGCCTGGTGGCCTCCTGGTTCTCACAAACCGCCAGCCACTCCTCAGCAGCGAGATGGGGCTTTCTCCAGTGAGACTGACAGGCTCAGAAACCCACCGAGTCCTGTCCGGTCGCCGTGAGTCAGCGTTAACTCAATGGCTGTGAGTTTGAGAGAGGTGTTGTGTGTGTGTGTGTGTAAGCTCTCTATGAAGCTTAGCAACCCCATTTTGTAGATGAGGAAGTGAAGGGAGAGGAGCCAGTGAGAGGGAGGGGCATGGTCTGCCTGCCTGATGCTTTGAACCACCAGGATGTCTGGCTTACCCCTTCAAGACCCTGACTCAGCTCTCCCTTCTCAGCCCCACCCCCCTAGCCTCACTGCTGCTGTCTGCCTGGAGAAACTAGATCCAGGGGACCCTGCAGGCAGGTGGCCATGCCTCTGAGCCCGCAGAATGTTGACACAGGAGGGGGCCACCTCACCCAGGATTGCCATCGGACCGCTATATCTCCCTCCCGTCTGTCTTGTCACACCAGTGGGTTGGGTTCCCAAGAACTAGTGGCCACCGGACATTAGGGCCAGAGAGAGGGCTTACAGTACTAGTTCCTGCCTTGCCCTGGGAACGGGGCTGCCTAGTCTGCTTGTGTCTGGGCCACCCCCGACCTCTTTCTAGTTCCTTCCTGTCTTTTGCAGGAAACCCCAGTGGCTCCAGCACCTGCAGGCCCCTGTGGAGGCAACTCTCCCAGGCCAGAGGGCACGTTGAGCTCAGAGGTGGAGCTGAGCAAGCCAGAGGAGCTGGTGTCCCGGCTGGACAGCCAGCCATTCTCAGGCACCTCCCAGGACCTGGCCATCAGCTACAGCGACTCCCTAGATTCAGAGTCGAGCAACTTCCCGGAGGAGAACGAGTATGTGTCCCAGACCGTGGGCTCCTTTGCAATCCACCTGACCGAGAGCCCCAGTGCTGACCTCCTGGGGGCCAACTCCGGATTGCAAGCCGCCCTGAAGTCCCCGATGCACGAGAAGCCTAAGGTGGAGGCGCCCGGCACCACGCCTGGCTCCTGGGCTGCATGGCTTGGGATGGCTGCGGCGGGGGCGCTCCTGGCCACGGTCCTGGCAGTGCTGTACCGGCGGCGCCTACACCAGTGAAGGGTGGAGGCCTTTGGGCGTGCCTCCCCTGCGTCTGTCTGCTCCCTCTCCAGAGCCGGGCTGCCTGACGCCCCTGGTCCCTTTTCTCAGGACTGGTGAGGGTGGAGTCTGGGGAAAGAGGCGGGGTCTGAGGGAAAGGGGGAGGGGTCTTGGGCTGGAGGCAAGCATTTCCATCCCTGCTGGTGTTTCCTGTGCCCTGGACTGCCCCTTGCACTCCAGACCGGCCCACCTCCCAGTCAGGTCTCATCCGGGTCAGGAGATTCAGCCATCCCCACCCCCAACTCACCCATGTTCCCAGCGAAGGGCCGGCAGACGTGCAGGGTGGGGCCTGAGACTGTGTCCTGAGGGGCGGAAGGGACAGAAGGGCACGTCTCTAGCGACTGGGCTGCTTGGAGCCGCTGGGCCGTCCGGTCCCAACGAGGCCACCAGGGGAAGGGAAGGTTCCCAGGAGCCAGCGTGACCGCTGCCAACCCTGCAGATCATCTCCCCGAGTCTGTCTGGAGACCTTACATCCTTTTCCTGTCCCGCACCCCCACCCCAACCCGAGCCCCTCCTTCTTCTCTGCCTCCTGGTCTCCATGTTCTCTTCGGCTTCTTACACGGGTGGGGAGGGAGTGCCTGGCGAGGCAGAGGGTTGAGCTTTCCATTCTGCCCCCGGCTGGGCGGTGTGGCCCTGGCGGGTTATCTGACTTCTCAGGTTGTCTCTCCGGAATGTGCCTTCTCCTTCCCTGGGTGCTTCTGAGACAGCAGGGCCTGGTCCGGAGGGGGTGGCCCCTCTCCCTGCCAGCCGGTGGAGTGCGGGGCCTGTGCTGCAGGGGCACGGAGGAAGAGGGGTGTCACTGGCGGTGCAGGGCAGCCTCGGCCTCACCCTGCTCCTTCCTGCACTGGCTGGGATCTTAGTTAGTTAAAGCGGTTAACCTTTCTGTGCCTCAGTTTCTCACCTGTAAAATGGGGTGAATAGTACTGTGCCTATAGATATATATATATATTGAGATGTGCCTACTGCAGAGTGTTGTGTGGATTAAAGGCATTTTTTTCTGTATAAAGCTTAGTCCTGGGCCTGGCTACTATTTCAGTTGTCACCCATGTGTGGAGGGGCAACCCTGCACTGTCCCACGGGTGTGTGTGGGGGGGGAGGCATGTCCACAGGGTGTGCATTGGGGCGTTCTCCCCATTCCCTGCCTCCTACAGGCAAGTGGGGCGCCTCTCTGCTATGCCAGCTCGTTCACATTAGCTGCCTCCCACCAGAAACACAGTGGGGTGGGCAGAGGCACCCCCAGGGCCTCTTTCAGGCCTCCATCACTGGGAAAGGTGGTGGGGGGCAGCCTTAGGTATCCCTCCCTTCCTGGGCTCTGGCAGGGCTAGGGGTGCCCCAGAGTGTCGCCCCTACTGGAGCTGCTCTGGCCTCCCACAGCACTTCCTTCAGGACCTCTGTGTCCTGTCCCCATGACCTCAACCTCTGGACTTCTCTTGACCTATGACTGACCTGCAAGAGGGAGTGATCCCCACCCAAGCTGCCTGCCACCCCCCTCGCTCTTCACCAGCCTTGTCCTCACTGCCCTTCCCCACCCCACCCACCCACCCCCGGCCTCCAAGTACCCATGGGATGCAACTCGGGGAACCATTCAATGTGTTTCTTCGCAGGGCCACTTTGAAAACCCCGTATCTCAGGAATGCAGGGTGGGCCCTGAGACTGGTGCTGCCATGCCTCTAATTGTGTGGTTTCAGCACAATTAGGCCTTGACAGAAGTCAGGGCCTCTGGGTCGCAGGCATTGGCAGGGGGTGGGGGTGGGGGTAGGGGAGCTTCCTGGCTGCCCGGCAGCCCTGACTGGGCCGGCATTTCACAGCATTTGTTTCTGTTGTGGAGGTCCCTGAGGTGCCCCCAATGCCGGCTGTAAGCAGGGCTGTGACCAGGAGCCTTGGTGACCCTGTTGGGTGAGCATTGGCCTGCTGACTGCAACGTCCGGGGTTCCAAACCGTAGCCGCTCCCTGGAGGAAGATGATGCTTTCTGTTCCCATAAAGTGTCCCAGTCCAGGAAACCCATAGGGGCAGATCTACCCTGTCCTACAGGGTCACCAGGCATCAGAATGAGTTCCCTCTGCTTTGTTGTTTGGGGCTGCTCCCATAAAGGTAAAGGTTGACAGCCCGGGGAAACTGTGGCGTCCCTCTGAGTGGGAATCGACTAGCTGGCAGTGGGTTTGGTGGCCAGGAATGGGCTTGGCAGGGCTGTCAAGTGCAGAGTCCTGAGTGTAGAGTGTAGCTCTCAGCTGCCAAAGCTGGGTGGGGGCAGGCCCAGTTCTGGTCTGGATGATGGTGGAGGCCAGAGTCTAAGGAAGAAGAGGAGGACTGGTATACCCCAAGTGGTGGGCCTCGCCCCCCATATCAGGGACTTGGGATCACAAAGGTTGTGGTGATGAGCGGTCCTCAACTCACACAACACCATGCACAGGGGGACACCCCGCGCTCCTCCTGTGCCACAGCAATCTGCTTCTCCCCGGAAACACCAGCGGAGCCTGCGGCACCACTTGGTGGGGCCAGGCCAGTGGCACAGCTCACCTTGTTCCCTCGCTGGATGCTCTCAGACTGAGGGGACTTGGCGCCAAGGTCAGGAAGGTGTCGTTAACCACACCAGGCCTCAGATTATGAATAGCCTTTTAGAAAGAAAACAAACCATTGAGTATGGGAACATTTCCAACCCCCAAAGGAGACTAGGATTGAACCCTTATTCTTCACCCCCCCAACCTCCAATAGTTCTTTCATCGCCACCTGCTTCCCGGTTTCCTGAGACTGAAGAGTGTGGAAGGCCAAGGGCAGACGTGGGTGGAGAGGATATCGTGGCAAAGGCCCTCTGTTTCCCCAAGGCCATCTTCGGAAGGCCATCTTCGGTAGTAACCTGCGGTTTCGCCATGAGCTGTGCTCCTCCCTTCCAACTGGTCAGATGTGAGTGGGACTGGAGCCCTGTCTTAGGAGGTGAGAACCAAAGGAGAGTCCTCTTTGGCCCAGCCTTTTAGGGACAACTGGTAGGGTGCTGTCCAGTGAAGGCTTGCTCAGTTGCACCAGGGTCTTCTCTAGGTGTTACAGCCCTTCCAGGGTGCTGGAGGACTTTCAAACTACGAGACAGCTCACCCTATACCTGCCCAGTGTGTCAAGATCTGCCACCTGCTATAAGCGGTCATAGCATGCAGTACACGACTAATGTACTCTCAGGAATGTGTCATAGTATAAGGAGCCCTGTTGAGTGAGCATTGGACTGGGCAGAGAGTCAAAACCACCCCCTGGTCTGTGAGAGAAAAATGAGCTATCTGCCCCAGTAAAGATTTACCGCCTGGGAAATGCCAGTGTGGCGTGGCTATGAGTCAGAGTCGACTCGGTGGCAGTGGTTTGGGTCTCTGATGTACACAGATGATTGTAATCATTGTGTATACGCCCAGCGTAAGGCCCTGAAGCTGGGTGTGGTGGGGCAGAGGGCACCATCCTAAAATCTCTGGTCTCAAACGGCCAGTTTAGCTTAGTAGACATTTCAGTCTTTTGTTTTTTTTGTTTTTTTTAAAAATCTCTTTCTTTCTTTTTTTTCCCCTTTTTTAACATTTTATTAGGGGCTCATACAACTGTTATCCCAATCCATACACACATCAATTTTGTAAAGCGCATTTGTACATCGTTTCTCAAAACATTTTCTCTCCATTTAAACCCCCGACATTAGGTCCTCATTTTTTCCCTCCCTCCCTGTTCCCCCCTCCCGCATGAGCCCTTGAAAGTTTATAAATGGGTATTTTGTCATATCTTGCCCTGTCCGACTTCTCCCTTCATCCACTTTTCGGTTGTCTGTCCCCCAGGGAGGAGGTCACACACAGTTCCATGTAATCGGTTCCCTCTTTCCTACCCATTCTCCCTTTACCCTCCTTGTGTACCCGTGTACCTTTGTATTTAAACTTCTACACAAGCTTTATTTATTATTTTTTAAAGCAAATTGGGTGAGGGTTTTTTGGGGGTGTGTGTGTGAATGAAGGTTTATAGAGCAAATCACTTTTATGTTCAATAATTCACACACATGTTGTCTCATGTCATTGCTTGCAGTCCTCAAATGTAACTTCACTCATCCCACCTCCTCTCCGTGTTTCCTGTTTCCCTTCCACCCTCCTGACCTTTTTGAACTGTGTCCTTGGGCAAAGGCGGGCACACCTCTTGATCCCAGATGGTTGCTTCTTCTCAGGTGTGTGTGTGTGTGTGTCTAGCGGCACCCTTCTCCTTACAGACTCATCTGCTGTCTGGCTGGAAACTGAGTAGCGGGAGGGGGTAAGCTGAGCTTCACACCTAAAGGGTCACTAAGGGCCATAGTCTTGGGAGTTCCCCCCTTTTTGTGGTTTTGAGTTTTGTTCCATTTTCCTCTCACTCTACCCAGGACTCTCTATTGTGATCTTTTGCTGAGCACTGGCAGCGGGGAACCATCTAGTTCTTCTGGTCTCAGGGTGGTGCAGACACTATCTGTTCAAGGATTTCCCTGTACTTGGTGACAAAAGGTGGGTTGGGATGGGCAGGGAGAGATGAGGGGGAAGTGCCTCTTAGCTTCCAAAACCAAACTCCTCCCCACCCCTGCCCCCCCAAACTCAATGTCATCAAGTCGATTTAACTCATATTGATCCTATAAAATAGAGTAGAACTGCCTTGTGTGTTTCCAAGATTGTAAATGTTTACAGGAATAGAAAGCATTGTCTTTCTCTTGAGGAGCCCCTGGTCATTTAGAACTGCTGACCTTGCAGTTATTGGCCCACTGTGCCACTGGGCCTCTTACCCTCCAGGACCTGTAAGCTGTAAGGGTTAGGCCAGGTGATGTCAAATCCTTCTACCCCCTTCTCCCCACTGCTCAGTCCTGGCAGTCCTTGAGTGTCCTTGGTCCAGCGCACCAGCTTCCTCCACTTTCTTGCCCCCTCTCCCCAGGTGCCCCTGCTAAGCCATCCCAATCCATCTGAATTGCTGATTTCCTAGCAATCAGGCCCTGTCTTCTGCCTTCTGCGTAATCAATTTGCTTGTACTTAATGTAAGATGAAAAAGAACCCTTCATTCTTCTCTGCAGCTGGAAACTGGCTTGTCTAAAGGAATTGGGAAAGAGAGAAACTCTGGTAATTACTGTAAAAATTGCCTTAGTTTCATTCCCCCCACCCCAACCCCCTTCTTCTACTTGCTGCCACGTCCATGTCCTTAAGATAGTGAGCCCGCAAATGCTTGTCTGCAGTGCAGCAGGCCTTGGTACTGCTTCTAGAGCTTGGGCCCTGTGGTTCTTCCTGCCCGACCTGCAGCTAAGAGAGCCCACTGTGGCCAGACATCAATAGGGGCCTGGGGGCCCTCTCCAGCTTCTCCCAGATGCCTTTTCTACTCAGAGACAAGCTCCCTGGCTGGCAGAGGCCAGGGCTGACTGTCACCCATGCCCCAAGCCGGCTCTGCCCACTCACCCAACCCTGCAGTTCAGGGACGTCAATCTCTACTCTGCTGCCCTTCTTTAGAATCAGGTCTGTTTTAAGCATCCCCCCCAGTGACAGAGGTAATACATGAAAACATGCTTGGTGCAGAGGAACATTAAAAACCCCAAACTACGCAGAGTAATCGAGACTAGAGCTGCTGAAATCTCAGCATACACACAGCTCCGTGGAGGATCCTGCCTGGAGTGAATCAATCCTGGAGTGTGACCTGAGACTCTTCATTTCTAAGGTTCTCTTTTCTCAGAACCAAGAGCCGCAGAGAAAGTGCCCCCAGCAGTGGTGTCTGTGGGCATCGCACCTGCTTTTCTCTGTCTGCTCCTGTGCCGTTTTATAACACCACCAATACCAAACTCATGGCTGCCAACTTGATTCTCATCTTTGTTGCAGCCCTGCTCCATAGGGGCTTCTGGATGCAGTCTTTATAAAAGCAGAGCACCAGGCCTTTCTTCCATGGCACCACAGAGTTCAAAGTGCCAAACTAGCGGTTGTGCATAAGCCATGTGCACCACCCCGGGACCTTGTGTCATGTTAGGAATGAATCCCGTCCTTAAGCTTGGGGCCCAAGGCCCTAT